TAACTTATTTCACATGTGTGTGCTGTTCAGGGGCTTTATAATTCAACAATTAATAGGCCATGGAAAAAAAATATATAGTGAAAATAATATTGTGAAAATGAAAGTTTATCGCCTTTAATTTAATTGCTTTCTGTTTTCAGCAGTAGTTAATAGCTATGTTAGAACTCAAATATATGTTATTCTTAAAAGACAATTTCACTTCTGTGGGAAAACAACAACAAAAAGGAAATCTTAAAGCATCAAAGTCAAGTATGATGTTTTCCTTTTACCCGACCTCTTTCAGATGTTTTGACAAGGCAGACATTCTCCATTGAATTCCGCGGGCCACGCTTTATGCAGAGCTGCATGGTAGCAGATGAGCCGTGTGATCCCTCATTAAAAAGCTACACATCAGATTTCATAGCAAATTGGAAAAGGAAAATCCATGCAAGATTTATAACGGCATAAAGTACCCAGGGTATATTTAATTAATACCATAATTGCAGATGTTTAAATATGTATCTCAAATGTTTTATCTTACATGTTAATTTTGGACTTTAGGACATCGCTCAGTCATTGGCAGCTATTGTTTTTGGAGACTTTGTAAACGCATATAGAAAGAATATTCAGGGCCATATGTTTGTTTCGTGTAATATATTGTATGGGATAAAATTATTACCAAATGCCTCTACAAGACAATGTGTTTTACCATATGTTGTGTAATTACTATTTTCCTTCTTTGTTCATTTTTTTTGTACTTTTTCTACTAATATTCTTAAAATAAATAACTGCCTAAGATCTGAGAGCAATTAAAAGCAGCAAATCATCAGTTTTCAGTCATTTTGCTGTTCATTTTTCAACCTGTATCTATGATTGAGAACTGTAGGTCTATACTAATCTTGCATCTCCCAATAACCTTTACAGCATCCCACATCAAGGCTTCAGGTGAGAAGGTTGATCCCAGCTAGTCACCAGCACACTTTAAAAAGGTCTGCATTGATTGAACTGATCGATGTGCACTCTGCCTGCCATTTCCGCTTAATCTCCTCTGAAGAAGATTGAGCATCTTCTGATTTTAGATAGCAATTACACCCTGATAACAAGGACGTCAAAGCCATGACTCAATGAAATGTGTGAAAACACTTTGGATATGACACTCCAACCATAACTTGGAATTCTTGTAGTGGCTGATGATAATGTAAGTAAGTAAATTCTAATCCCAGAAGAGTCTAATACAATAGTCCATAATTAGCAAAAGTATCAAGTGACGAAAGTATCATATTGTAAAATATACAAGTGATGCCAAGAATACAAATGTTTTATTGTTTAATGATTAAAGCTGCTCTATTGAGTATTATGCTTGTTTTTGACTCATCTCTGCCTTGACTTGGAGACCTTGAGCTTATGTAGCTAAGAAAAGGTAGAATATCTTTAATATAGCCCTGTAAAAATCATCATCAGAAGGTCATGGCTTTAGGGTGAATATGAAAGTGGGCCAAAGCTGACACCATAAAAATGCAGAAGGAAAGGCAAAATTGGGCAAAGACCTTCCGTTTCATCTGTCAATCATGTGCTGAAAAATTACATGCGGTACTTTTGGTCACTGCAATAAAATCTGCCCTTCAACAAGACTGCTCTTTCCATGACTGGCTTGAAAGAGGAAAAAACTGAGAAGCTATTCATTACAATCATAGATGTCTTTAGAATTCATTTGAGTAGCAAAGGTGTTCAAAGACCAAGGCCTGGAGTCAACTAAGTAATACACCTTAAATTTAAACTGATTTACCGTTAGACCAGCAGGTGGGGTTGACTTTGCGTCCTCTCAATTAATCCAATAAGGCAATTAAGATGTTGAGTGAAAAACCAAGCAAAGCATTGCTAAGTTATTTAAAAACATCTGAAATTTTACAAAGACTGACAGATGACACTGAGAATGATGTATGTTGCACCTTTGCTGTCACCATTGTTCATTTTTTAATGTCAGATCAAAGACCCTTTCTTCCTATTTGCAGTGGTCTCCAAAATGAGCCTTGACCATCGATCAGTCTTATCACGAGCAGTTAGCTAACCATACTTTTAAATGACAGAGCTTTTAGCTTGTTAAATATCTGTGGAAAACTACTGGTGTCATTTCCCCGCAAAACAAAAATAAGATTGTCAGAAAGCAACAGATTTTTGCCATCCCCATCTTTGTAATAAGCTTTAGCAAGTTGAAGCTTTCTTGTGTCAAAACGAGTTGCATAACAACTGATATGACGAGCTCCGGGAAAGTGGCCCTTCTCCTTGTCACAATTTAATTTACATTCAGGCACTTGCTTTAGATCTTTCTTCCACCTTTGGCTATAATTAATTCATTAAAACATCTGCATAGACTGAGAGAGTGTTTAAAGGATATTCTGTAAAGAGACAAGTAAATGCATTTAAAAAGGCATTCAGTGACTGCTATTATAATCATTTCCACACTTAAATAATTGGATAAGTAAATATACTATGTAAAAAGGCAAGGTTTTGAGTCTAATAAAGCCAATTGCCACTAGCAACCCTAATTACCAGGCAGTGTTTCACTTGTCTGTGTGGAGAGAGACCTTCCTGTGCTTTCATACTGAGGTACTCAGTAATACTACTGGGAGTTATATTTCAGACTGAGGAGCAGGTTTCCTTTTCGGTCTCATTGTTCCCTCCTCTGTTTCCAAGCATAATGGACCACCATTAAAGTCACAGTAGCCATAAACCTATGTACATAGCATACAGAAGGCGTGGAACAAACACGGATGGAAAAATGGATGTGCAGTAATTTCTGGGATTAAAGTTGGGTCACATCATCTGTCTTTTATGTGCCAGTTTTTTTTTTGCACCAAAGTAGTCTGTTCAGAACTCACATGACACACATAAAAACAAAATAAGCACACATTTCTTCTGCTCCTGATTTGTACTGCATGTCGTGAAATGTATAGCTCACGCCAAACATTTCTGTAAACTTATTTACAAAGATGGGATATTTTATTTTGTTTTTCAAATTACATTGTAAGCTTTATGTTATTCACATGAATGTTGCATCCTATATATTTTTATGAATTCTTGTAGTGAAGAATACAAGAAATATGGTACCTCTTGCATGTTGTTTGCTGCAAATTGTTGAATTTGCAATATAGATCACATCTGTTTGCACATCCGTGTGCCTGCTCACCTGTTACACGCATTGGCATGTACGTGTATGGCTTTCCACTCATAGACACAGCCGTCAGGCAGCCTGACAATCATATACTCACTGCTGCTTTGTTTATGGATTTTCTCCACATCCGCTGAAGAAATTAGCATTTATCTCTATGGGGTGCATGCATTAAGTTCCACTCAAAAGCTGTGATATGCCCGTGACAGTGACTTTCCAGATAGACTATTCCCTGAATGCTGACATGACGGTTTCATTCAGAAATAAATAAATCACTTAAAGGATGTGTTGGCCAAAGTATACCTTCAACACTAAGCCATGCTAAAGAAACCCAAAGAAAATAACTGCATGGGTTTGACAGGATCAAGATATATGAACAACAGACAGTGTGATAGTTTTGGCTTGGTTTTTTCTCTCTTATCTCCTGTGACAAAGCTTAGCATGTTAAATCTCGACTTGCATTAGCAGTGTTTTAGAGTGCAGACATGGTATTAAAGCAGTGAGTTAGTGTCATTCAAACGTTCCCAAGCAGGCAGAACAGAATGCATTTGTTAAAGAGATAATGGGTCACATGTACACATGCTGTCAGAAATTGCTAGAGTTGAAAAGCAGCGTTCTGACAATGGCCTAACTTCAGGCTAGAAAAAAAAAAAGGAAAATCAAAGCATAAATTGTGTTTTTTTCCCCTTTTATTACAGTACTTAACTCTGGCTTGTAGCCTACTCTCTGACTGTATAAAACATAAAAATCCTTACCTGCATAAGGAGCACATTCACTAAGAAATACTAGTAGTCTATATAGATGTTATAATGAATTATATTGTCTTTGATGTTGTCTTTATCTGAAAGTTCTATTGAAGTTATCTGTATGCTTCATGGTGGGTAGATGTTCTGGTGTCCAGATCTGTTAAATTCATTTCTGCAGGCAGCACCACAGAAGAGTGGACCTGTAGAACAAGGCGGCAGGAGAGTCCGAATGATTCCAGCATTTTCTGAGAGTATCTCTTAGTTTTATACACATAGCATCAAAATCAGACTTCTGCTCTATTAATTTGTTAGTAAATTACTGGGAAAGGGATGATTTGGGTCTTTCTGGATGGGTTCTTTAGCTTTTTAAATGTGTGGAAAGCACATTAAAAACAAATAAAATTTAAAGTTAAGTTTCTGATGTATTTACTTATTCACATATTTAAGACTCGTCTAAAAATGTAATTCCCATGTTTATTTATAATCAATGTATACAAATAGGTTTATACAACTAAATTAATACGCTGTTTTTTGCAATGTCGATCTTGAATATCTATTTTCACTTAACTTTTCAGTAATAGTTTTCATTACGCTTAATTGAATTTCAGTCATCACGCTCGCTACACTGAAAATGGTAGCTTTGGAAAAACAAAGCTGCCCCGAATGGTTACCATCTGTATAAAACAGCAATAATACGGATTCTGCGCATGAAAGAAACTTTGCCGCAGCGCAAGCTCTCAGCTGAGCCTATTATCTGCGTTGTTTCATTTCTAGTTCTCTCCAAACGCCACTTGAGCACCGGTTCCTTTCAAATGACTTGCAGCCTGTATTTCCGTGGACACCGCTTTACAGACAATGCCTACAGAAGCCAATGTTCAGACTCTTCAAATTCTGCAAAACAATTGCATTTTAACCCCCAGCGATCGATGCATTGTTGCATAAGACAGCCTCGAACATTTTCTAAAGGGTGTGACCATTTCATTACGGTGAAGCATTTAGAAGCCCGTAGTGGTGGGCAAAACACATCCAGCGGCTGAGAGATTTCAGCGGCGGCTAAGATGCTCGGATCGCGAACTGTCACTCGCCCGGTGAACAGCGAGTCGCCTCCCCGCCCATCGCCGCATCCCATTGGCCTGTCGCGCTGGTGAATTTATTACGCTGTGTTGTTAGTCTGGTACCGGGTTAGTAGTGCAAGTTGAGAATGAGGAGAGGCTCCGTGGCGCCTCGGCGGAGGAGGAGGGCTGTGCCGGGCGCGGACGCGACTGCCGCTGTCCATTCACTTCTAGTTGTAATACAAGGACGCTCAGAAAGACTTTCTCATCTTGCCAAGTGATTACTAATGATCTTAAGATTATATTTTCGGCGACCATGAAAATAAGGTGAATACAGAAAAAAACACCCTCTTATACCTGCTGAATAAGAAGAAAAAAATATACAGAAATGGGACCGTTTCCGAAGGGACGTTACTTTACTATGGGCATCTTCCTGTTCCTTTTTTCCTCTACTACACTTACGACAATTAAAGGTAGGAGCCCGATCGGCGATGTCTTGGTGCTTGTCGGCGTTTCTAGCGCTATGTGTATTGCAGGTGCTTATTCGGAAACACTGAAGGTATAGCTGGAGAAAGCGATCCGGAGTGAAGAGTGACCACCCAGCGTGCACTCTAGAGAGGCTGGTGTTTAAGGGATAGTCTGCCACTGAAAGTTGCTGCAGTGCGATTTCATTAGGGCGATACGGACACTATGTATATATGTATTTAATATATATTTTTAAAAATGGGTAATATATTTTTTTTTCTTCAGATATATGTGAATGAAATACATGGCGGGGCGCTTCAAAATAGTTCAGATTTGTAGCTTGGCTTGTACTTTTTGGCGGTGATTAAACGCACACGGTGCGGGATGTATAATGTGTGAGCGGCTCCGGCGCGGCGCGGAGCGAAAGGCGCGTTTGCGGGATGCAACAGGCGCGCGGGGCTCCGGCTGGGCAGCCTGTTCTTTGCTCTGCACTTCCCAGGGCGTCCGAACTGCCCATCACTGTCATGTCTTGGGGTTATGAATAGTAGCGGTGGTAGAGGCTGCTTCGCAAGTGCCGTGGCTTTAAAAATACAATTTATCGCACTTGAAAGTTAACATGCATCGCCGAAGTGTCCGCGCTGACCAGAACGCTCCCAGTCAGGAGTAACGTCTGCCTTACAAGCTGGTATACAGTTTATTAACTAAATTTTAACGTGGATGATCATTATAACCATTAAATTAAGATCTTTTTTACGTTTGGCTTTTTATTATGTGATAAGACAGCAGTGTTTTGCCTGTAAAATGCAGGACGCTGTGAAATATTTGCTTAAATATACTTTGTTCTGATCAAACATTTATGCACTAAAGTAGCCGTTCAGTACAATATGCAGTTATTTCTGGCAAAGGCCAAAACAGACCCATCATGCATAGCTGTCATGCAGTTTTCTGAGAATTCCTAGAAAACCATCGCTGCTACAAAGACTTTTATGGCTTAGTTTATTACACACTGCATGTCATTAATTGGCTCTAAATGGCTTTATAGATCTCATATATTACAGTGCATTACGAAGGCTGCCACTCTAGATAATTGGCACTTCTTAAATCCAGGAACTCAGAACCCCCCCCCCCCCTGGATGTGCGATTTTAATCTTCAGGATTACTGAAAGTAATTTTAGCATTTTTAATGGCTTTGATACACCACAACACTTGTTTTGTTTTTGGCACATGGAAAGATGTGAACCTTCCTTATTTTATGTGCCAGATTGGAGCAGATGGGAGGAAGTAAGGCATAAATAAAATACCAAGGTCTGTGTCTAATGACACATATCTAACCCTTTCAGTGTCATTAACACTTGCCTCTTGGTTGGTGACATACAAGTGTGACAATTTATCTCCACAGAAGGCTGAAATTACACATTTCCATGGTGGTTTAAGGTTTGCCCCTTTTTTCATTAGCTGGTATCTTATATTATTTGATTTGTTTTTTATTGTTTGTGTTGGGGCTCACCAACAATTACACAGAGTAAACGCTACACTATCAACAGGGGTGCAGTCGCGGGTGGTCAGGTTTGGGAGCTTCTCCCTGCAGTACTGCTCTCTAGAAACTCACTGGGGCCCTAAAGGTTACTTGTTACAGGTTGTTAACCACGTCAGTCCCAGTGGCTTGCCTGCATTCACTAGCTTCACAGTTGTGCTTTAGGGTGCTGCTTCTGCCGTCCTTTACTCCAAGGCTAAGAGGACATTCATTTTGTTTGGGGGCCTCACATTACGCATTGTCATCTCCCAGCGCTCGTGATGAGATTACAGTTATTATATTATTATAGTGTCAATAATCACACCTTGACCTTTGCTAATACCTTAAGCAATCAAGCGTGTAGTTCACACTGAGGTTTATTAGCTGGAAACTAGCGTGAGGTTTTCAGGCTGGAATTGGGAAAAGAAATCCTATGTTAGGCCTATTTCATTGCTAAACATAATGAAATCTACCACCATGTAAGTTGATGGATACACTGGGTATAACGGAAACTTTAATGCTTTATATTAATCTTTACTGTACGGAGTAATGTGTTTGACTCTCTGGGGGAGTAGACAGCATCTCAAAAATCAGGGAAGAGAATACTTGAACTTACCAGACTTAACATGTACAAGAGAAGCACTTTGCACTTTGCACAAACATTAATGTACAAGGGCTCAGTCACTACAGCTGTTCAATTTGTTATAATGGAATTAGTATTTATGCGTGACCGATAATCAGCCATACATGTTGTTTGGTGGGGAAACGATGGTGTGGTAGACGGTGTATGACTATCCACTACAGTATTGTTCTTAATGGCTGTGATCCAGATATTTATTTTCCACTGAATTGAAAGCATTGAACAGAACCTGCTGCAGAATAACAAAGAGCTTGACTGTCCTGTGTTGCTCTGAGTATTTGCCCAGGTACTGTAGCTTGTCAATCTCCAGACGTTTATCTGAAAATTCCCACCTCTGAACATGGCGACTTGTCACCTGCAGAACTGTATGTTATGCAGACTGCCTGTCGTTGTCCCTTTGCATGTTACAGTAAGGGGGAGCCAGACCATTCTTACTATGAATTCCAGCAGGATGTTAAAAATGGCTACAGTAGCTAGAAAATTGTTTAAAAAAAAAAAAAAAAAGTCACAATATACCCATAAAAGATAAATATAATATTTCTGACTGGGCAGCATATCACTATTTATTATTTACAAATATGCAATCTGGAATTTTATAATGAGCCTGGCAAAGCTACTTTTAAACTACTGTTAAGCAAACGTAGCTCACATTACCATGGTAGCCTTGAAGATATGTAACTTACTGCCAGTTTAATGCTGTAACCTCAGATGGCTATCAAGCAGATACACGGGAAATTTTCTTAATTGTTTAAAACGTTGAACCTGTAAATTGTACAGAATATGTTTTTTTTTTAATGTAACGATTGCTGCCTCTTTTTAAAAACATGTCCTAGTTAAATCAACATTTCCCAATACATTTTTCGTATTACAGCAACTAAATAATTAATCACCAAATAGACTAGGGACTGCAGCTTGAATTTCTCCATATGGTGTCTAAAACCCTTTACAATGTTCATGCACATACAAACACTTTCTTTTTTTTTTCCTTTTTTTTGGGGGGGGGGGAGGGTTTACTGTACTTAGGCAAGTTATAAAATATCTTAAAATCCGATAATGTGGCTTGTTTTATATTTGAAAAACACTATAGTTATTATACATTTATCAGAAAAATAGAAGAGTGAAATAATATTGTATGTGTAACTTTTTTGGGTGACATGGAATTACAGTAATTTGTTTTTTTTAGTATGTGGAATAATAGTAATTCCTCCACTTAACTACAATTCTGAAGTGAAGTTTCTGAATGCTGAAGTTACTGAGAAAAAAAAAACAAATAATAAAAAAAGAATAGTATAATTTTCTGGTGAGCTTAGGAGTTCCGGGAAGCGAATTTTCAAATACAAGATAAGCAATACCCCTGTCATGTTCTTTTCAAATCATTTCCGGCCACTTTTTTTCTGCACCTTTTTTTGTATTGCTGTCAGAGTGTTCTGCTTGGTCATCAAAATTATTTTTTTCCAAGACAGTCGCAGTGAGATTTTTCATGAATCTTCTGTATAGTAAATCGAAAAAAGTCACAGTCTTAGATGATATGCATGTTGTAAGGCACTGTAAGTGCAGTGTGATATGATATTAAATAAAATTTTATGAATAAAATTAAATAAAATTAGGTGTGTGAATAGTTTGTCTACTCATTGTCTTGTAATTTGGGGCTATTATGCTGAGAAAAGCCTGTGTCACTTTCTGCTGGAGAAATGTGTTAATATACAATCAAAGTTGAAAGGGTGAAGGCAGTCCTTTAGGTTCCCATTACATACTGTTAACATTTTGCATAACATGGGGAAGAATTAATCTAAATCCACAATCTCATTGACAGTGATGTGTCTACTCGAGCTCAAACGTCGACAGCAGCTTTTCATGAAGATGGATGAACGGGTGTCCAAAAATGAAATAAATAAACACCTTAACATTTGTCATTCCTGCCATGACGGGTCATAATGCTAATCTGAGTGTGGCTGTGTGTCTTTTGGCTAATCATATTTTTATGCGGATGTGCAGAATATGTCATGGCACAACTGCTCTTAATTACCTGCATATTTTATGCAGCTATGTTGGTGTAATTAGGATCTAAGATGCCTGGCACTTGTTTATAAATTCAGTCAATGCTCTGTTTTAATGCTATTGGGTAGCACTGATTCCTCACACCTCCAGGATTGGGAGTTTGAATCCCTCCGTTACTCTCTGCATACTTGTACGTGTGTGATTTGCATGTCCACCCCTGTGTGAATATCCTTTATGGTCCAAAAGCATGCAGTTGAGGTGATCTGCATTGCCTGTAGTGTACGGTTATATCTGCATGTGCCCTACGATGGACTGACATCATATGCAGGGTGCCCCCCCTCCCCCATGCCCTGTGTTGCTTGGGATAGCCCCCTGGTTATCCATAGCCCAGATCAAGATAAATGCATGGAAGATGGATGCTGTGTCCTTTTGGTGATGTTCTAAAAAATATAGTTTGCTCTCAAAATGTTAATATTGTATCTATCATGCAATTGTGACATTCACAAAAAAAAGAAAATCCTCCAGATATCAGACAGAAATCCTATAAAAAATCTCACGGTCAAGCCTTTCGCCCTGCATTCATGCCAGGTGGCGTTTTATCCAAGGGACCTGAGTTTCTGTCTGTCCTGTGGCAGTAGTACAGATACAGTTTATGTTTACATGCATGAATCGCTTTTGAAGGTAGATTTTTTTTTCCTCAAGCATGATACAGTCTGCCTGTCAGTGTAGTAACTAGTCATGTCTTTTTTCTCTACTTACTTTCACAGTGGTAGGTAGAAATAACTACTGGGGCCAATTTTGCGCAAAAAAGACTGACATTCTGACTTTTACCTTGAGCTGGAAATGTTAAGATACAG